CCCAGCACCCACTGTGAGCCTCGTATCTGCCCCTGGAGGTGGGCAAGGCAGGAATTACCATTCCTGGTTCCAGCTCAGCAGCCACTCAGAGAGGGAGAATCCCCTGCGCAAAGTCACAGAGAGGCTGAGACTTCACTAGGACCAGCCCCCAGGCAGGTAGGCCTAATGGTGCCCAGCAGCTTCTCTTAAGCAAACCACTTCCAACAGAAAGCTGAGCCAAGAACCTTCTCTCTTCCAGGGCCATAAACCTGGTTTAAAAACCAAGTTATCACCAAGATCTTTATGAGGCCGTGTCTCTGGGCCCCACGCCAGGAGGCCCAGGTTGGGTGTGTGGGAGCCACCCAGAGGGAAGAGGGGCCATGGGGGGGGGGGGGGGGGGAAGGAGGGGCCCAGTAAACAGCCGCTCCCAGAGATAAGGGGCTGTCAGAGAGGAAGAGGAAGACCATGTGGTGGATGGGGCTTCTCCACACACACAGCTGCAGCGCCCTGCTGGACCAGAGTAGGCACATGGGGACACTGAGGCCCAGGGAGGCTAGGGCTCACGGTCATATGTTGAGTCAGACGCCAAAGTGGAGCAGTACCTGAGATTTCAGGTGCCCAGCCTGAGACTTTTAAGTAAGGTTACAGTCCTTCGTAGGGGGAAGCTGGAGGCATCACATCAGGGTTGGCTCAGCTCTCTGACTGGGGGTCTACCTAGGGGTGAGGGTAAGGGGAGAGCTGAGGCTCTTTTGCTGACGAACCAGAGAAGGAAGAGGAACCAGGGATTTGTTTAAGCAAAACCCCAGGGTGGGGAGAAGCACACGCAGGCTTCCAATACTCCCAGGCTGGCTCGGCTGGAGAGGAAAGAAAATCTTCCAGATAGGCCACTGACTTGCTGAGTGGCCTAAGGCAGGTGACGTCACTTCTCTGAGCTCCAGCTGCTTCACTTGAGAAATGGGGATAACAATCAACTTTACTTCACTGAAGATGACCTGAAATGATACATGCAAATGACTCAGCATGATGCCTGGCACTTAGTAAATGCTCAATAAATAGTGATGCTATTATTACTCCAGCACCAGATAAATGGTTAAATCCTGCAGTCTTAGAGCCTGCAGTGATAGGGCACTGAGCTAGGGCTCAGAAGATCTGGGTCTATTTCCAATACAGCACTGACATGATGTGGGAATTCAGCAAAAATCCCCTATTTCTTTAGGCTTCTGAGCCTTAATACCATCTGTAAAATAAGTGGGTTGACTCTCGAAGGGTCTTCCATGGTTAGGATGCTATGAAATCTAGGACCCTCTGATCTCCTACCCTCAGAGGCAGGGGTGATGTTTGCAGGGTCAGCAGGGCTTGGCTGAGAGCCACTCAGGCACTCTGGCTGGGTAGCAAGAAAGGCCAGTGGGGTCAAGAGGCCCAACTTCTGTGCCCAGCCTGCATTTGTGGAGCTTATTCAGACACCTGGACCTCTCTGTGCCTCCTCTCCTCATTTGACAAATACGACCAGTTCCTCTAGCCTCCCTGGTACCCAGGGTGCAGGAACGCAGTCCCCAGAAGAGATGGGGGATAGATCTCTTCCCTTTCAGTGCCAGGGAGCTACATGTCCCCTCAGGCCCCACCCCAGGATGTGTCTGTGGAGTGGGAGGCATGTTCAGCATCCACCCTGGGAGAGGACAGCACTGGGGGCCGCTGGGATGGAGCGGCCACTGGAGCAGCTGGGATGGACCCCAGGCTTCAGCTCCCACCCCCTGCCCTGCCCCCGGCTCTGCTTTGTCCCTCATCAGGGAAATATTTCCAGCTTTGCCTGTAAAGTCCCCTGTTTCTCAGCTACCACCCAAGCCCTGAACACCATCTTCATCACTCCTGGACCCCTGCCCGGCTTCCTTGCTGCTCACAGGCTCCCTGCCTCTGCACACTGGCCACAGCCATCTTCCCACACCTGCCTCCCCACCACTCAAAACCCTTGGCAACCACTTCCCTCATCAGGCCTGTGCGAAGCGGCTTTGCCCTGCCCCTCACCGGACTCCTCCCCTAGCCCCCATCATGAGCTCCAAACTAGCCTTTCAGTGCCAGGGGGCTACATGTCCACTCAGGCCTCACCCCATCCACTGTAGCTCTGCCCACAGCACCCCCACCCTGCTCCTCGGGGCCTCAGCTCACGTGTCATTTCCTCTTGCGAGACCCCCACATCTCCTCCCTGTGGGTCACATCTCCCAGTTCCTGGCCCTCGCAAAGATGTCATTTTACCTTTGTTTGTGTTTTTTGATCCATATCTGCTTCTCCCCATACCCCCCTCCCAACCTAACCGTAAGCATCCCAAGGACAGGACCTCATTCAGTACCGCACACTGTCAGCACGAGGGAAGAGTGCGAAATACTAATCTGTCTAACGAGGGAACACATGAGCAAATGAAGTCCTATACCTCCCCCCAGCTGTTAAGCCTTCCATCTAGGTCTGATTTAGCATGCCCGAGCTTGAGGACACCTACCTGCCCACCCCCCAGGTTAAGCATGCCTCCTGCCGCAGCCCTGACCAGGGCGCTCCAACAGGCACCTGGACACTTCCCGCTGGTGCACTCACTCTCTCACATGACAGCCCACCTCAAGATGGGTGGCCCATCAGAGATGACCGGTGGGTGGAGATCTGTGCCTGTGACTGCAGCTTTTTGTCTCAGGTCCCAAGTCTGCCTGCCACTCTTACCAAACTCAGACTTTCAAGCCCCCTTCAAGTTTTCTCTTTCTCCCGTCTGGGCCATCTCAGCTACAACAGCTCAGAGCACAGAGCCCAGTCCTCCTGGGCCTCTTTACCTATCTCTGCATACTTCCCAGTTTCTCACTGAACCCTTGAAAGATTGGGTCCTGAGCGGGGTCCCAGCACTCCAGGTGACTTCTGAGCAAAATTCCACCAACACATCTGCTTTCTCACCTTTGAAAGGGGGACTTTTGTGCCAAGGCAGCCATGTGCTCCTCCACGTCAGCAACAGCTCAGGCAGACCCCTTTTCTCTCTCCCATGAGCAGCCCCCATTTTGCTGCATAAACTTGCCTAGGGCTCCTTTACTCTCTGGGCCTCAGTGGTTGCACCTACACAATGGGAAGAGTTCCTTTGATCAGGAAGGGGAGCCCTGAGCTTACCACCTCCTGCTGTGTTACGGTACCCGTCAGAACCCCAGAAGAGCAAGATTCTGACCAAGGCCAGCTTCATGGATGGTTCACCTGTACAGTCACACATAGACCAGTGTTTGGAAGGGCCTCATGCTTGGTTGAATGCTCTGCTGTCACTTTGAAATACTTAATTTTTGAACAAGGGATCTCACACTGTCATTTTGCACCAGCCACTGTAAATCATGTCCTGATCCTGACCCCTGAGATGATTCTGACCTGCCCTGGCTAATGTGGTGACCCAAGGGAGGGACAGGTGGAACTGATAAGACCCTAATTCTGAGAGTTATTTCACACATGAGTATCTCTGGGGGCCACATGTCCTCACACATTTAGGGAGCCCCCAGGAAATGTTGGAAGACCAAGCCCCATTGGGGTCTTCTGCACAGCTTGGCACTGAACCCCTCTGTGAAGAGGGAGACTGTCTCCCCAAGCTTCCTGACCCAGAGCCCTGTCCTTCATGAACCCTTTCCCAAAGCCCTCAACCTTGTTTCCCACATCCAGTTCACTGATGGCTCAACTGTTTTTACCCACCCCTTTCCCTCGGGTAGCTGTGAAAGATTTCCCAATCTTTAATTGAGGGTGAGGGGAGAGGTGCCTGGTACATTTAAAATACCAACAGGGTCAGTGACTGTAATGGGGTATGTGGTGGGGACTTGATAATAGGGGAATGTAGTAACCACAATGTTGCTCATGTGACACCTTCATAGGTTGTGTATCAATACCATAATAAAAAAAAATAACAATAGGGTCAATATATATATATATATATATACCAACAGGGTCCCAGCTATAATAAATGGATCAAGGCTTTTAGATCCTGATTTACACAAACCAACAATTAAAAATGTACTTTTGAATCAACTGGAGTATTTTGCATGAGCTCAGTGCTGGATAATATCCAGGAATTTGTGTTAATTTTGTTGGATGTTATAATGACATATTATGTAAAAAAATATCCATGCATTTTAGAGATGTATGCTGAAGTAGGTAGGGGTAAAAATGACATGATGTTTGAAATTTGTTTTAAAATACTTTAGCAAAAATAGGAGGAGAGTAGATTAAACAAGTGTGACAAAATCTTAATGGTTGAAGTGGGTGATGGGTATATAGCAGTTCACTATATAATTCTACTTTTCCATATGTTTGAAATTTTTCATTAAAATGAAGGTGAACAGGTGATCAAGAGAACTGCAAAAGTTTGGTAGAATGTCCCCCAAAGATACCCCTACCCTGCCTCTTTAAGAACTTTCTCTTGAGAACCAACTCAGACCAACTACCAGTTGTATGCAGACTCATATACGTGCATATGTGCATTTCCCCGGGAAAAACATCCAAAGCTTTCAGCAGCTACTCAGAGGGATCACGACCCCTCCTCCCAAAAGATTAAGGTCCCGCTACCTTACTGACAGGAACCCCGTTTGAAGTGAGATTGCCCCCCTCATCTCAAGGCTGTCACTGTGTAGTGGGCCACAGGCCTACTACTGTGGCTGTGTGACACTGGCCTGGGGTTCCCCCGCCGACGTTGCAGTGTTTTCTCCAACTGTAAATTGGGGTCGCAGCGCTACCCACGCGGCCCCGGAGAGAACGACGCGTTTAGGGCGCTGAGCCACCGGCCTCGCAAGAGACTCCCACACCTAATGATTCCTCGACGCTCCAGGCCCTGGTCCGTCCGTCTCCCGCTTGGGGTGGCAATTTGTCTCCTTTTGAACCCCCGCCCCCGACGGGTTTCCCCCTTTGATTCGCAGCCCGGAGGTTCCCCCCCGCTTTGAAATGCAAACCCGCCGTGACTGGGGCCGCAGGCTGCCTGGAGCTATAAAAGGCCTGGGTGGGGCGGGCGTGGAGGCTGGGCAGACGGGTTCAGGTGAGCCGCGCTCGTCGGGGCGGCCGGCAGCGGCAGCTCCAGGGCCCAGTATGCGCGGGGAGGCCCGCGGCCACCATGTACGTGGGCTATGTGCTGGAGAAGGGCTCTCCCGTGTACGCCGGCCCCGCCAGGCCGCCGGGTCTCGGCCTGGGCCCGCAGGCCTACGGCCCCCCGCCCCCGCCCCCAGGGCCCCCGCAGTACCCCGACCTCACCGGCTGCCCGCACGTGGAGCCGGCCCCCGCGCCCCCTGCGGCCTGGAGCGGACCCTTCTCTGCGCCCAGGGACGACTGGGCCACCGCCTACGGCCCGGGCCCCTCGGCCCCCGCCTCCAGCACAGCCCCGCTGGCTTTCGGACTCTCCCCGGACTTTAGCCCGGTGCCCGCGCCCCCTGGGCCCGGTTCGGGTCTCCTGGGGCAGCCCCTTGGCGGCCCGAGCGCGCCGTCCTCACCCGGAGCGCAAAGACGGACGCCCTACGAGTGGATGCGGCGCAGCGTGGTGGCCGGAGGCGCTGGTGGCAGCGGTAAGGCCCCCTCCCCCCCTCGGGCACCGGCAGGTGCTAGGGCGAGGCCCCAGCCGCCCCGAGTGTGACCTCTGCCCCTGGCCCTGTTTGGGTTGCCCGAGTGTGGCCTCCCTGACCACTCTCGCCTGGAGGGCTGTTCTCTCGGCTTCCGCCTTTTGAATCCCAGCCTGCCGGCAGCCTCAGAAAAACAACCTGCCTTTCTGTGAGGATGGGGAAACCGAGAGCCCACTGAGTGAAGAAGCCCTAGTTGCGGTTGCAGGGCAAAGCCAGAACTAGAACACGGGTCCCCCAGCTTCATCGCAGGGCTCTTTTCCCAGCCCTGACGCCCGTCGCCATCCGGTTTTTTCCACCCCATCCCAGCCCCAAGCAGAAGCTGCAAACCCGCCAGAAAGGAGGGTGCTGACTGTGTGAACAGCGGGCAGCTCACTTTCTTCTCCAGGTCTCAGGAGCAACTCCCCAGCCCCTCCCCCCAACACACGCACACCACCCCATCCGTACAGTGTAGTGAAGAGACTGGTGGGTCATATCCTTTGGACTAAAAAAGGGCCCTCTTTGGTTAGACTGGGGTGGGGACGTCCCTACCTTACCATCCCAGGGCCCTCCCTGAACTCTTGACCCCAGGGGAGGGGAAAGCAGAGCAGTTGGGAAGGTGGCTACTGTTTGGCTCCTGAGCCTGAGAACCTCCTGCCCCCAGGCAGGCCTCTCTGATCCACCCTCTTCAAAGGCAGGGGAGGGGGCAGGACAAAGGCCCAGCTTTAATGAGGGGCGGCCTGACTTCCTTCATAGGTCCCCCCTTTGTCATGTAACAGGCTGTTCCCTGGCTCAGCAGTGACTCCTGTTGGCCGGAAAGTGAACACCACACCCCATTGTCCCGAATGTGTCAGGCCTGCCCTGACAAAGGCCACCTGGCCTTGGGGGCGGGAAGTTGGCTTGCCCACCCTTTGATGCCCAGCCCCTCCTCCTCTTCCTCCAGTTGGGCAGGAGCCTGGGACTTCCCCTACCTTCTCTCTCAATTCAGCCCCCATATCCCCACACTCACCCAGCTTGCTCCAGGGGCAGACACTGGGGAAGGACTGACCAGTAGCTACAGGTCTGGCTATAATCAGCCCACCTTCTTGGCACTCCCAGGGACACAGAACCTCCACTCTGCCTCCAGAGGCCTCAGAGGACTGGTGTGCACACCCCAGCTCTGCCACTTGCTTCTGTGACCTTCTCTAAACGGTATCAGCTAACTTTTATGGAACACTTACTAGTGGACCAGGCGCTGACTTAAGGTCTTACATATATTAATTCATTTAATTCTTACAATATTATCCTAGGTACTATTATCACCCCTATTTTTAAGATGAAGGCACTCTGGCATAGACTGGTTAAATGCTTAACATAAGCCTATATAACCAAGTACGTGGTTAGGGACTTGAACCCTGACAGACTGGCTACCAGACTTGTGCTCTAATCCTCTAAACAATCTTCTCTTGAGTTAGTCATCTTTTTTGGGTCTCAGTTTTACCATCTGTGACATGAGAGGGAAGGCTTTTTTACCTTTGTTGGAGTTACAAAAAGACCCCTTTGAAGAATCTGGTGGAAGGTACAAATCTTCTCCCTAGAAAAAAAATGTTGCCTGAATTGGCAAACAGTTTCAAGGGTTCTTAAAGCTCCCAGAAGCTATATCCATAAACCCTGGCTGAGATCCTACATTCGATTATCTGAGAGGAGGCACCTGGCCCTCAGAGGCCTGCTGTTCTGTGTCTGTTCCTTGGAGAAGGAAGAGTATTTTCTTGCTTCTCTATTCCAGTTGTTGCTTCGTGCTGATCATGTGACTTGGAGATAGATGGGGAGTTTGAGATGCAGGGGGAGGTTCCCCACTTGGGTACTTGGAGAAAGGCCATCACCATGTGATGGGGAGAGAGAGTAGGCTAGTTGGGGTCAGAGGACTGGCAGGAGGCCTGGAGGAGCTTCCAAGCTGTAATGTGAGGCAAATCACCTCTTTTCTCTGGGCACTGGAGCTATGGACCCAGGTCAGCCTCAGGTCTTCAAAGTCATTTGGAAACGATTGTCCCCAGGCAGATAGGTGCCTAGGAGTAACTCTGCCCAAAGGCAAAAGACTTTTCCCCCTTTACTCCCAGAAAGTAGAAGGAAGGGCCAAAGGAGGTTTGGGGGCTCCCAAGGAAAGTGGTTCCCCAGAAGCTAGGTTAGGCCCATTCTACCAAGGATGCAAGAGCCTTGGCCTTCTGTAAGCTAGAAGCTGTTGCCTCTCTGCCCAGGGGACATTTGGCTCTGACCAGTGCACCTGAGATGGGAAAAGAATTGGAGTGGGGTTAGAGACCCTCCCTGAGAGAAAGGCCATGTGCCTCCCTCTTTGGCTTCCATTTCACCTTCTGATTAGTGAAGATACAGGGTCTGCAGGCATATTCCTTGTGTGAATCTATTCTCTGGGATGGCAGAGGGAAGGTCAGTGCATGCCAACCCTCCCTCCCCACCCCAGCACATGTGGTTGGCCATCAGGTCTTAGGGTACCCTTCTTGGCCAGCCCCTTCTGACCCTCTTCTGAGCTTTTAGCATTCTAGGGTATCTGAACTGGACTGTTAAGAACCAAACATACAGATGGAGAACTAAAGCCCAGAGAAGGGATATTCTAGTTTCACACAAGTGGAGCCTGTGTTGGGCTGGTTGTTGGATAAGTCACAATTTTCCAATGGTTTCTCACCATGTTAGGCAAAATCTACATTGCTTCCTGAAGTCTGCAAGATGATAGAGCCCCAGGCTGGTCCCTGCACACCTCCCTGACCTTACCCCAGGCCACTGAGCTCTAGCCACACCAACCTCTGAGTTTCTTAGATGTGCCACATCCTAGTGTAGGTCTTAGATATATGCTCCTCCTTCTCCCTCTTTGCAGGCCTACCTCCTCACCCTTTGGGTCTTGGCTTAGTGGGGGTTCTCCTTAGAGAGGTCCTCCATGACTACCCAAGGAAGGCTGCCCCTCTACCCATCAAAAATCTTCGCCATGTTTCCAGAAACACAGAGGAAGTGATGTGAAATGCACAGCCTCCTGAGCGAATGTAAACCTCTTGGTGCCTTACTGGCACCTTGATTTAAGGTTTCTGGCCTCTAGAATTGTGAGAGAATACATTTCTTTTGTTCTAAACCAAAAAAAAAATCTTTGCCATGTTTCCTTCAAAGCACTAACCCTGATTTCAGTTTACTCATTTACTTATTTGTGTGTTGTCTGTTCTGCCACCCACCCACCTAGACAAACACCCATGAGATCCAGAGCCACATCTCTTTGACCCATCTCTACATTCCAACGTTGTAAGCATGATCTTTAGTATACATTTTGCTGAGTGAATGAATAGGACAAGTGAGGAACAGTAAGCCAAACTCTGGGAGAAGTGGGAAGAGATGAGATCTCAGCTTTGACCCAGGTTTCTGAGGTCTCAACTCTGGAGATGGCTCCACAACTGTCCAGCTGATCAGCTCCTGCCAAAGGTAGAAGGCTGGCTGCTTCCCTCTCCGCACTGGGACAGTGTGCCAGCCTCGCCTGGGGGTGAGGCTGGGACTAAGACCCCATCTTGAATCTAAGGAACAGGCAGAGAAAATGTGCAAGGTGAGGGAGAGGCTGTTGGCCTTCATTCCATAATCAAAATATTAACCAGTTCTGAGTGATCACTGTCTCTTGACTGAGGCCAAGCTAGGAAATCACAGCAAGAGATACTGTATTTTTGTCTTCTCACTTTGCATCTATTAATATCAGCATTTTCATAAAGAGGGTTATAAATCTTCTCTTTCTTAAAAGTTCAGCCTCCATTCCTCGTAAATAAACAGTACTTCAAGATGAACAGCCCATTGGGGTGGCTGAATTCCCCACACAACTAGGGAGATGTTTGCTCAGTGGATGAGACTGTTGCAGCAGGATTTGAATCTTGTTCCAAGCCCTTCAAGTTTTCAGTTGGAGAAAATGAGGCCCTTGAAAGGGATGAACACCCTTCTCCCCACCACGTTCCAGACCCTCTCCCTTGGACCCGTTGCCACAGCCACCAACCCGGTCCCTCACCTTCAGCCTCTCTCTTATGCCCCACCTGTCTTCCAAACCTTTTCAAGGCACATCCCCTGCTCAAGAGCATTCCACAGCTCCCCACTGCAATGGAATTGCCATTTCACTTTATGCCATTTCAGTGTTCTAAAATCCAGGCCCATTTCTGTGGCATTAGAGCCCTCTTCAGACCTGGCTCCAACCCTTTGTTGAAGCCACTCCCCTGCTAGTTTGCCTAGAAACAGAGATGCTTAGTGGAGACAGTTGAGAGCCAGGTGTGGGAGCCTCAGGCCTGGGATTGCATTTCTTCTAGAAGCTGTGTAACCTCAGGCAAGTTAACTTCGATCATTTCTCTGAGCATCAGTTTCTTCCAAAGTAGCATTAAGATAATGAGAGGATCACACTTTGAAGCGATGGTGCCTGTAAAGTGCACCTACTGTGCTTGGCACACAAAAAGTGCTCAGCGCATCGGTGCCTACGGTCATCTCTGCCGCTCCCTGGCAGGTGCCCAAGAGCGCACACCTCACACGCCCTGCCTCTCCAGTCTGGGTCCCCAGTCTGAACTGCCCCTCCTTCCCTCCTACGTCTTCACTAATTCAAATGCTCCTCCTTCTCCAAGGCCACCTTCTCCAGAAAGCCCTCCCTGTTGGCTCCCTCTCCCCAAGCAGTGCATCTGGCCCTTGTTTTAACAGCACTTGCACTGACTGTTTTATTTATCCACCATCTGTGATCCCCTTGAGGACCACTCCTAATCAGTTCCATCCTTGTCACAAGGCCTTGCCCGTAGTAGGCGCTCACAGTAAAGCAGATAACTGGCACAGACTGAGTCCTAACTGTGTGCCAGGCACTGTGCCAAGAATTTTGCGTGGGTGTTCTCACTTAAGCTTCATAACAACCCTAAGAGGTGTGAGGATCTATTGTTAGCCTCATTTTACAGGTAAAGTCGATGAGGCTCAGAGAGGGGAAGGTG